ACACTCCCTCCAGTATCTACCCCCACTCCCAGCACATCTTACCCAAGCTGGACGTGATCCAAGGTATAGGTTAGATCCAAATGGAAAGTTTTTTAGGGGAAAAGAAGGGGATGTGGAGGTGCTGGGGAAACTGTTGGTTGCCATGGGAACCCCGCCTGCTGCAGGGTCTGAATGGTTTTCTGTTTGCTGATGTCCAGTTCTTTAGGGCAGGCGCTGGCATCAGCAGGGACTGGGCACCACATCCTCTATGTCTCCTGTTTCCGGCATCCGGCCCAGTGGCATCCACTCCAGCAGGTCTCCTGGTAGCAGGCAGGGTGTCCGGGATTGAATGCTTCCTCCTGACCCCTTGTCCTGCTGCTGCTGCCCTCCCCAGCTGGGAAATGAAGGGAAGCAGAGGGTGTTTCCCAACTGTTTGAAGAGAGAGTCCTTGTTTTCCTCTTGCATTTCATTCTACTTTCCCTTGTCATCCAAACATGAACCATTGGCCATCTGCCTGTCTCCTGCTGTCCAGCTGTCCTTGCCATTCTCAATTCTGAATTTTTATTTGTCTTGTAGGAACTGCGGAATTTGTTTTCACTCAGCATGGTACACTGGGTGAACTGGTGCTGTCTCTAGTTTCTCCTCTTAAATGTCACCTCCAGAAGCTGATTGGAAAGGCTGAAACGACAACCATCCAAAAGACCCTGGGGACACATTTCATGGTTTTAGTCTATCTGAAAGGTTAGAGCAGGTCAGGAAAGACCAAGGCGTCTAGCTCAAGGTGGCTGGCTCAGGCTGTGATGGACTGTACACCATCAAGTTGTGGGCCACTAATCTCTCATGACAATCCTTCCAAGTGCCGCTGCTTTCATATTTCTAGGCCTCTACATGGCTCATTTCTTCTGTTTGAAAGGTCCACGATGCTCATTTTCACTTGGGCTCACCCAGCCCTGAGGGCTCTGGTCTCTGCTTGCCTCCCCAGCAAGCAGATCACAGCCTCTCTCCTTTCGTAATTCACCTTGCCCGACACCAGCATATTCTGCAGTTTTTAAAACAGGCTTAGTCATTTTCTGCTTCACGGCCTTTGCACACCCACATCCCTCTGTCTGGAACTTTCATACCTGGCTTTTCACGTGGTTCGTTCCTTCTTATCTTTCAGAAACTAGCATCCTCCTAAGCAAGGCCTTTCATGATCTCTCTATCTTAATATCTTTCCTGGAACTTCACATTTTGTAAATATTTGTTTACCTGTCTATTGTCTGACTTCTAACTGTAAGGGCCAGTGAGACAAGAACTATCTTAGTCTGTTTTGTGTAGCTATAACAGAACTGTTTTGTGTTGTTATAATATAACTGACTGGGTAATTTATAAAGAAAAAAAATGCATTTCTCACCGTTCTAGTGGATGGGAAGTCCAGGGTTGCGGAGTCTAGATCTGGTGAAGATTTTTGTGCTGCGCGATCCCTTGGCAGAAGGCAGAGGGTAAGAGGGCAAGCATGTGTGCACATGAGAGGGATCAAACTCGCTTTTAGAACAAAGCCACCTGCACAATAATGACATTAATCTACTCATGAGGTAGAACACCATGACTTCATCACTTTTTTTTTTTTGAGATGGAGTTTCGACGATCTCAGCTCACCGCAACCTCCGCCTTCTGGGTTCAGGCAACTCTCCTGCCTCAGCCTCTGGAGTAGCTGGGATTACAGGCATGCACCACTGTGCCAAGCTAATTTTTTGTATTTTTAGTAGAGACGGGTTTCACCATGTTGACCAGGATGGTCTCGATCTCTTGACCTTGTGATCCACCCGCCTCGGCCTCCCAAAGTGCTGGGATTACAGGTGTGAGCCACTGCGCCCGGCGACTTAATCACTTCTGAAAGGGCCTAACCTCTCAACACTGTTGCATTGAGGACAAAGTTTCCAAAACCTGAACCTTGGGGGTCACACTGAAACCATAGCAGGGACTTTATCTGTTTCTACCAACTCTGTACTTAGAGTCTGTACTTAGAGTGCCTTATCTCAGTGCATGGGGCATCGGGTACACACTGAATATTTACTGAGCATATGAAAGAGTGGCTAATTTCTACTGGGCCTTTTAAATTCCACCCTGAAGTCAGTTGCCTCTTTCTGTAAATTCTTCCTGACTCCCTCTCCCACAGCTCACTTCACAGCTCTAGGTCGGTGTCTGTCTGGGTGCTGCTCCCCTGTGCCCTGCTGCATCATGGTGCCTGTGGCTATCCTTTTCTTCAAAAAGATGATGAGCTTTGTAATGGCAAGATTGTAGCTTTGGTTTCTGTATCGCAGGATCCAGAAAAATACCTGACATATTGAGATTGCTTTACTTGACCAGTGTTGGTAATATGAATGACTGGGTGATTAAATAAATAACTGTTGGGTACGTTTCAGCGATGTATAGAAAATCTGGTGTGGAGGTACCAGCAAGTTCAAAAAGAGACAGGGATGTTTCAGTTCTTGTGTTTCCCTGTCATTCATGTTATCTGATGATATTACAGTAATTTCGACAGGAAATCATTTGGTAAACACCTGAAAGATAAACCAAGGAGTCCTGGCTCTTTTATGACTAAAAAGACCCTATGTTTACAGGATATTAGGATGCTCAGTTTCCAAATGTTGAAACACTTGGGTGAGAATTGAGTTTCGGACACCTCTTTGGGTCTCAGTTTTTTCATCTGCAATGGAAAGGATGGATAAGATCATCTTTAAAGTATGTTCCAGCGCTAGCATTTTGTGATTAAAAATAAAAATCAAGGCAACTAACATTAACCTTCCAAGGCATTGGAAAATCCCCAGTGACTTTGGAGCTCACCAGGGATGGTCTAGGGAAGAGGAGAATTCTGGGTGAGAACCTTAGCTTTGGGCAGCCCAGGTTTGCTGCTCTCCCTCAAGTTCAGAGTCACCTCTTTTCCCACATGAAGTGAGTCTTGGCTCAAAACATTATGGGTGCAGGTGGGGGAGCAGTATGTGGGCAAAAGTGCATTAGGAGCAGAAGAGAGACTCTCAGGACATGACTCTATCAGAAGAAAGGCTCTCAAGACATGACTCTTAACTCCATTGGTCCAGGGAGGAGGGATGCTAAGGGGGCCAGAGGCAGGCATGGCTGCTTCAGAGAGCATGAGAGGGCTCAGAAGGAGAGAGAGAACAAGGATGGTAGAGAAATTGTTATTAAGGTGAGTTGAGAGGAAGAAACATTGAGACAAACAAAGGAAGAAGAGGATAAGAATACAATGTAGCAGAAAGGTTACAAGTCCAGTGGTAAGACTGTATTTAGCTCAGCTTTGCTGCTAATAGTTGTGTCAAAGTAAGAAAATCTCTTGACTGGATCGAGACCATACTGGTCAACATGGTGAAACCCCGTCTCTACTAAAAATACAAAAAATAGCTGGGCATGGTGGCGCACGCCTGTAGTCCCAGCTACTTGGGAGGCTGAGGCAGGAGAATTGCTTGAATCCAGGAGGCAGAGGTTGGGGTGAGCCGAGATCACACCATTGCGTGATCCAGCCTGGGTAACAAGAGTGAAACTCCGTCTCAAAAAAAAAAAAAAAAAAAAAAGAAAATCTCTTGACTGCTCTGGTCCTCGATATCTGAATCTGTAAAATTGGGACAAATAACACCCTTCCCACAACACAGACTCTTTTTCAGACAGAAATAAACTTATGGATGTGAAAATGCTTGAAAAGAATTTTTTAAAATATAATATACAGAACAACTAGACAGAAGATCAATAAGGAAATAGGGGATAGTGAAATCAACTAGATTTAACATGCATATACAGAACACGCTAGTAAACAGCAATACTATTTACATCCTTCTCAAGTATACATGGGACAAGTTTAGTTAACGGTATTATGCCATTAGTACTAATAGTAATGCTGGCTTCTTAGTCTTAGCAAATGTACCATGGTAATGTAAGATGTTAGCATTTAGAAACTCTGGTAAAGGGCAAAAAATAAAAGCAGAAATGATCGGATCAACAGGGTTAAGAGCAGAAGGATTCATGGAATAATCCAGCAAAAAATGCTACCACATTAAAGAAATGCTACCAGGAATTTATAACTCACAAGGAAATGGATCAAAGAGGCCAGACAATTGTTTTTCTCCCCAAAGGCTTGGTCATATTTTCCCAATTGTTCAAAAGAGAAAAATTAATAAATGTTATCTTTATTTTGCCCAAAGGTAACTCACAGGAACTGGAAGGGTTGGGCCAGGACATTGGGTTGATGGATCAAAATACGCCTTTGATGGAGCTGAACCCCAGGTAATTAAAGCCCTGGAAAGGTTCCCTGAGCTCAGTGGCCTGGGCTATTCTGCCCTCCAGTCATCCATGCAATCAGCCAGGGTGACAGAAAAACCAAGTGACCAACAAAGTCTGGAATCCAGAGCCAGAAAAGATAGCCGGAGGGGAGGCAGCTCAGTACTGGGCTTTGATGGAGGTTGTAAAAGCTCATCACCAGATAAGGACAGACCTTTAAAGATAGAAGAGTGAAAAATGAAAGCAGGCAGCTGCTGTTATTCCTACTCAGTTAAGGCTTGAATCCAAAATCTATACACAGGAAAATGTGTCAAGCTGGCAAAATCCACCTTCAGTCCCCCTTCTCACATGGGGTGGCACCTCCAAACCAGGCCATTGTCTAGTGTCTTGCCAACTTGGATCTCCTGCCTTGCTACAAGCCCTTGTATTGGGCCCGCTTGACTTTCCTCTTTGCTGTGGCACCCCCATCAGCCACCTTCCATGTTGTTGATAAGCTCTCCTGCCCTCCACCATCCAGCCCCCCAACTCTTTCTATAGAGGCTTGCTGCATCTCCAAGCCAAGCACTAGCCAAATCTTGCTTATATGCAAATGGCAGAGAGCCAGAGGGAGCCAGCCCTCTAGGGTAGCCTCTTATGCTTCCTCTCTGTGGATTCCTAGAGCACACATCTATCAACTTAAAAAAATATATATATTATTACACTTTAGGTTCTGGGGTACATGTGCAGAACATGCAGGATTGTTGCATAGGTACATACATGGCAATGTGGTTTGCTGCCTCCATCCCCAACGCCTGTATCTGGCATTTCTCCCCACGTTGTATCAACTGTTTCTGTAATGGATCAGATAGTAAACACCTTCAGCTTTGTGGGCCATATGTTTTCTCTCGTAACTACTCAACTCTGTTGTTATATGACCAAACCCAACCCAATCCAACCCAACCCAACCCAACCCAACCCCAACCCCAACCCCAACCCCAAACCCAGCCACGGACAATATGTGAATGAATGGGTGTGGCTGCATAATGATAAAATTTATGAACCTAAAACTTAAATTTCATGTAACTTTGGTATATTTTGAAATATTATTCTTTTGCCTTGGCCCATGAGCCACGGTTTGCAGATTCCTACCCTATTGTAGTGCTGTCTAGTGCAGTATTCACGGGTGAGTCCTGAGCACTTGGAATGTGGCTGAGTGGAGGTGTGTTTAAAGTATAAAAGAGGCCCAGGATTTCCAAGACGTAATACCAGAAAGTGTAAAGAATCTCAAGATTATTATGTTGGTCACACTGAAATGATAGCATTTCAGATATATTGTCTCAAAATAGACTATTAATCTCACCTGGTTTCTTTTTTCCTTTTGAAATGGGCTACTAGAAAACGTACATGCATGTATGTGGCTTGCGTCGTTTTTATTGGATGGCAATGCTGTAGAGGCAAAGTTTCAGCCTCCTCTGAGCACCCTTGGAGATCATCAGGCCTGGCTCTGAGACGTCAAGTTCTCCTCCCAAGTCTCACAGCTGCTTGGACAAGGACTCTGGCATTCCTGTGCTATCAGCCTGTGGCAACCCCATCAGGTCAACTTGATTCAGGTGAGATGAGGTGTTCTGTCCCTGCAAGGAGCAGTCAGGGCCCTGTGATGACGCTACAGCCCTGGAAAGCAAACACCATTCTGCTGTCAGTCCCCAGTGTTAGGGTAACTCTTTCACAACCTTTCTCACTTAGTGGTTCTATTTTTTTTTCTTCAAATTTGGCCCCAGGGCCACTAATCAGAATTCATGATGAACTTATTCAAATATGCAGATTACCAGACTCATCCCCAGAGATAGCAAATCAGTGTGTCTGAACTGGGGCCTATGCATCTGTATTTCAAAAAGAAATCCCTTGGATGATTCTTTTGTTTTTTTTTTTTCATTTTATTTTTTATTATTCTTTAAGTTCTGGGATACTTGTGCAGAACATCCAGGTTCATTACATAGGTTTGCACGTGTCGTGGTGGTTTGTTGCACCCATCAACCCATCATCTACATTAAGTTTTTCTCCTAATGGTATCCCTCTCCTAGCCCCTAGCCCCTGACAGGCCCAGTGTGTGATGTTCCCTCCCTGTGTCCATGTGTTCTCATTGTTCAACTCCCACTCACGAATGAGAATATGCAGTGTTTGGTTTTCTGTTCCTGTGCTAGTTTCCTGAGAATGATGGTTTCCAGCTTCATCCATGTCCCTGCAAAGGACATGAACTCATCCTTTTTATGGCTGCACAGTATTCCATGGTGTATATGTGCCACATTTTCTTTATCCAGTCTATCATTGATGGGCATTTGAGTTGGTTCCAAGTCTTTGCTATTGTGAACAGTGCTGCAATAAACATACATGTACATGTGTCTTTATAGTAGAATGATTTATAATCCTTTGGGTATATACCCAGTAATGGGATTGCTGGGTCAAATGATATTTCTGATTTTAGATTTTTGAGGAATCACCACACTGTCTTCCACACCAGTTGAACTAATTTACACTCCCACCAGCAGTGTAAAAGTGTTCCTATTTCTCCACATCCTCTCCAGCATCTGTTGTCTCCTGATCTTTTAATAATCACCATTCTAATTGGCATGAGATGGTATCTCATTGCGGTTTTGATTTGCATTTCTCTAATGACCAGTGATGATGAGCTTTTTTCCGTATGTTTGTTGGCCACATAAATGTCTTCTTTTGAGAAGTGTTTGTTCATATCCTTTACTCACTTTTTGATGGGGTTGTTTTTTCTTGTAAAAGGATGATTCTTTATACACATTAACCTTTGAGTTCTGCTATTCCTGAGGTGGCTTTGGAATCCTGATCTATAATGATACGGCGCCAAAGTGCTTTATATAATAGGAAAATAGACTAAAGATTAAAATGGGTTGAAAGCCCTTATTTTGCAAGCACTGTGTTCTCCCTGAGAGAAGGTAATCACATAGGTAACATCATAATGACTGCAGCAGTGGCTTTTGAGTAATCATGATTTCTCGTCTTTGTACACTCTCAGGTCTCTTGAAAAAGAGCAATTTTGGATCTGAAAGGCAGCTCTGATTCCTGTGAATTCCTTGCAGATTGTGCCTTTTAGTATTCTGTACAACACCAGCTGCATGTGGGTGCATAATATATTGTAAATAGTGTTAGTCAAAATAGTCCCAGTGTGTGCTTGGAATGAAGGTTTAGCCAATACTCACCACAAATATTGCCATGGCTGACAGTTCTGCATTCTAGCATGAGCCAGAAATTCAGGACATTTCATGTGCAGACTTTAAATATTGGAGGAGGTAAATTAGAATGCTGGGTTTTTGTTTTTTTTTTTTTTGCCATGGAAGTGTCTTTAGTTTTGAGATTTTGCTGGTAGTAATGGTGCATGAAACAAATTACAACTTGAAAGAGTGCCCAGTGCAATCTTAATATTGTAGGTAAGGGTATTTTCAAATTAAAATTGAGCAAAGAAATAATGCATTTATGAGAGAAGTAGCTCCATCCTGTTTCAAGATAAACACAGGATTCCAAGTTATGATCCAGGAAAAGGTTCCATTTTCCCAAGAGGACTTTGATGTTCCACTGCAATGTTAGTGTCAGTCAAAGTATTTTAAATGTTGGCGATTGCCAGAAGGATGTCAGATACCAGCTAAAAAATATCGTCTTGGCCTCGTGTAAACTCATGATGATCTATTACTTGGAATGCCTCAAGCAGTTAGAGTTACATCATTCCGATAAAGCAATGGGAATGTTCTGCGAAAGAAGTCAAGCACAAATATTTATTTATATATTCATTCATGCATTGCGCCAAAATGTGAGTACCTAATTTAATGTAAGTCACTAGAAAATATATACAGAGGGCCGGGCGTGGTGGCTCACGCCTGTAATCCCAGCACTTTGGGAGGCCGAGGCGGGTGGATCATGAGGTCAAGAGATCGAGACCAGCCTGATCAACATGGTGAAACCCCGTCTCTATTAAAAATACAAAAAATTATCTGGGCATGGTGATGCGTGCCTGTAATCCCAGCTACTCAGGAGGCTGAGGCAGGATAATTGCCTGAACCCAGGAGGCGGAGGTTGCGGTGAGCCGAGATCGCGCCATTGCACTCCAGCCTGGGTAAACAAGAGCGAAACTCTGTCTCAAAAAAAAAAAAAAAAAAAGAAAAGAAAATATATACAGAACCTGGTCTCAAGTAGCTAGGAGAAATTTGGAATATTTAGTGCAACTAAAATCCAACAGGAAAGTGATAAGTATCATATAAGGTATACAAAGATATGTGGTCCTATGGTATTATTTCACATGAGAGTGAAATCACTTCCATCTGGGGCCACCAAAAAGGCTTCAAGAGGGAGGCAATGTTACCCAAAATCTACACTACAGAAAAGTGTATATTTTGACTATACAGGGAATAGGTGGTGAAAAGGGAAGAGTATTTCTATTTGAAGGGTGGTGGGAAAATGAAGGCATATACAGGGAACAGTCTGGAGCCTGTTGGTTCACTCGGAGCTTGGGGTCAGGAAGTAAGGTGTTGAGACCGCTGCCTTTTGTAAACACTGTACACATAACTTTTTGGCCTGGAAATATGAGCCCCTTAAAGCTTGATAAAAGAAATCAAAAGAAAACCAAGGTTTCTACTTGGGGAACTGGAATTCACCCATCTTATAGTGTTAGAATTAAGGACTGCTTTCTAATGATTGAAGACAGCATTAGCTCAAATAAGAGGAAGCGCATAGAAAGTACTAATCTATGTTGGCTGGGCACAGTGGCTCACTCCTACAGTTCCAGCACTTTGGGAGGCCAAGGCCGGCAGGTCACGAAGCCAGGAGTTTGACACCAACCTGGCCAACATGGTAAAACATCATCTCCATTAAAAATTAAAAAATGAGCTGGTGGGCCTTGTGGCAGGCACCTGTATTCCCAGCTACTTGGGAGGCGGAGGCAGGAGAATTGCTTGAACCTGGGAGGTGGAGGTTATAGTGAGCCAAGATCATGCCATTGCACTCCAGCCTGAGGGACAGAGCAGGACTGTGTCTTGGGGTGAGGCAGGGGGAGAAAAGAAAACTGTTACTCTAGACTTTATGAAAGCAGAACATTCAGATTCAAGAGGAATTAACTTACAGGTGACGAGACTGTCAGGTTGTTGAGAGAACTAAACAGTGTTTTTGGGGAGCTCAACCTCAACCTTATATGGTCAGTGCCTTGTAAAGAGTGTGATTCTCCCCTAATATGCCTTACTCCAAGAGTTCAATTGATTCAAACTTGGGTTTGGGATTCAGACAGATCTGGGTCCAAGTCCTGTTCTACAGCATGCAAAATGGGTGACATTGATAAGTTACAGTTGAACCTTGAATAATACAGGGAGTAGGAGCACTGACCCCTACTGCAGTTGAAACTTCATCCATGTATAACTTTTGAGTGGCCAAAAACTTAACTACTAATAACCTACCTTTGCCGAAAAGCCTTACCTATAACCAGAAGCAGCTGATTCACATGTATGTTGTATGCTATATGTACTATATGGCCTTATTACAATAAAGGAAGCTAGAGAAAAGAAAATATTATTAAGAAAATCATGAGGAGAAAATGCGTTCACAGTGCAGTACGGTAGGTATCGTTACCGTAAGTTTCTGTTGTCTGTTTCCAAGATGAATCCTCCATCTGAAATGGCAGATGCCATAGCTGTATACATCAGTCGATGGCACGTATCAAGCAGTTCAGCTTCCTCTAGTAACGCCATGTGTTTACTTTCTGGGAATGCTTTCAGCATTATTAGTGGCACGTTGTGTGAGTTCCATGATGTTACTCAGAGTCTGTGGGAATACAGTAAACATGATGAAAACTAAGTGGAACTGGAGAGAAAAACGTCTCACTGTGGATGATCAGCATCACACAGCGTTTTCAGTGGATGCTTATGATATTTGAGCTCACCACCATAGCAGCAGGTGGTGACTCCAGACAGTTAGCTTTATGCAGTTACGACTTAATATTACATCTTGATGTTTGTTCGGATTTCTCTTGACTGCAAATGACACCATGTATGGTCTGTAAGTGTGTGTGTAAATTTTGATAAATTTTAACATTCTTACAGATATTCATGTATTTCATGGTAGTAAATGATAAAATAGGCATATCTTTTTATTCCTTATTCATCACATATCTTTTTCTTAATTTTTTGATACTTTTAGGCTACATCGTTGATCTGTGAGTTGTTTTCAAATTGTCACAAATCTCCAAACAATGTTCAAATATATTTGTTGAAAAAATTCACCTATAAGTGAACCCATGTAGTTCAAACTTGTTGAAGGGTCATCTGTTCTTGCTTATTTTATTATTATTATTAATAATAATAATAATAAAATATTATTATTAAAATATAATCCACTCTGTTGTCCAGGCTGGAGTGCAGTGGCGCAATCTTGGCTCACTGCAAACTCTGCCTCCTGGGTTCAAGTGATCTCTTGCCTCAGCCTGCTGAGTAGCTAGGATTACAGGTGCACACCACAATGCCCAGCTAATTTTTGTATTTTTAGTAGAGATGGGGTTTCACCGTGTTGGTCAAGCTGATCTTGAACTACTGACCTTGTGATCCACCTGCCTTGGCCTCCAAAGTGCTGGGATGGCAGGCATGAGGCACGGTGCCCAGCCTCATCTGTTCTTTATCTAAGTTCCCAGCTTGTTTGTAAACTTGTTTGATGATGATATTCATCCCTCAGGATTGTTTTGGGAACAACCATAGTATGTAAGCAAATGCTTGAGAGGTGATTAGCCGAATGTCGGGACCATGTAGTGGATGTTGGCTGCTGTTACTGCCTGAGTTGGACGGACCATGGGCCCAATTTGAGGTGACGTTTCCTGTGGTCTAAATTTAGGCTTTTAAAGGAGTAAGTATGTATGTCAGTGCCTGCCTTCATGAGGGCTCCTAATGAGTGTCCGTGTTGCATGTCACACAGCAACACACCAAAGGACCGTCCCTCTGTGTAGTTGCAGCATTGAGTGGCCTGGGTCACAAGCGCATTTGATTTTAGGTATCTAGAGTCTTCACTGTCAAGTTCAAAATAATCCACACAAGACTAATCCTGTCTTGTTCTCAGGGCTGGGCTGAGACTTGGGGGGTTTTCAGGGCAAGAAATGAATAAATTAGCTGTAAGAGTGTTAGGGCCAGGCTAAACCAACGTGGTCTGAGGGAGTGTGATATTGAGCTGGGATTGAAATCACAGGGAGCCGTGGCTGGTCCGTGCAAAAAAAAAAAAAAGTTAAAATTGCTGGTAGGGGAAAACACCAAAACACAGAGCTTTCAGGAGTCAAGGAAATCAAGGAGCGTCATGGCCTTGTAAGAGGGAGGCCACGATGAACCTACCTGGAAAGACTGAATAGCCAAACCGGAGGCCCGGAAGATCCTCTGGGAAGACTGAATTCAAAGCTGAATTCTTGAACCAATAATTTATCCAAAGCCGGGCTGTGAGGGCCAGTCCCCAAAAATCTCTAAAGAAATGCAGTAGACAGAGAGTGGGAAGTTAACTACGGTGACTCAGCAGGGCTGGAGTCAGCCGCCGCTTCCCCCTCGCAGACTGCTTCTGTCATGTGTTACGTGGTGTCTGCTGTAATGGAGCAAGGAGGCTCCATGGCGACATGAAGTCAGGGCTCTTTGGGGCTCATTTCTTGGAACCACTGCCTGCCCTTCTCATGACGCCCTCTGTCACCCGTCTTTCGGGAGCGCTCCACAGAGATCTCCTTCTGCCATCCGACTCTCCCATTGAAGAGAGCTCCCCTTCTTCTCCTGTCTTCCTGTAAAACCTGACCCCCCAGGATCCCCTCAAAGGCTTCTTCCCCAAGCTTCTCCTGAGTTCACATATCTCAATTATTTTGAAAAGAAACCCCGGTACTCAGGAACAGTCAAGATGTGACAGCAATGAGACTGAGGCAGAACAAAGTTGGACTTTGCATAGTGAGCAGTAATCACCACCTTCGATCTTCCTCTAGTATGAAAGCTCTGGTCTCTGGAGCCGCTCTTCAAGGACACCGCCCGGTGAGGGTGGGAAAGGCTGACATGGGTCTGACGTCCTTCCTAGCAACCTGGCCGCATGGGAAGGAACGCAAGTGTTTTCTTACGTCTGACATTCAGGTGTTTCTTGTGCATCTTTGTTGCATCTCTTAGTTTTCATCTGCTCCTGCCTCTTGTCCCTGCGTGTGTATCTCCCTGCCAGCAGCCCTCCACCTTTAGAGCTTTCCCTAATAACCTGAGGACTTCAGAGTGGAGCAAAAATAGAGAGGCAGTGAGAGGTAATAGGAAGATCTTCCTAGAGCTGAAATGCCCCAGGGGTTCAATGAAATGCTTTGGATTTGGTAGAACATTTTTTTAAAATACTTTTGAATGTTGGCACTAAAAATAAAACCCCACTCATCCCTTCTTCTTCAGATTTTCCCCCCAGCTCCTTTGCACCAAACATTCAGTAACTGAGACTCCTTAAGCATCTGCCATGTGCTGGGCACTATAGTAAGCTACAGTGAGATGGAGAAATCAGACAAAGTTCTTGCCCAAAAGGAGTGCATAGTCAAAGAAAATCCCAGTGCTGTTTATTATGTGTTCACATACACCTTAGAGCCTGCTGCGTGTTAGTTGTCAAACATTTTCTATAGGCCTAACCTCGTTAAGTTTGCTGGTACATGAAAGGAGGTAGGAAAGTTGGTACCTGCCACTGAGGGGTAGGGCTTAACAGCAACAGAAGGAAGTAGGAGGAAGGCAGGATGGGAGTGTGGTAGGGAACTAGGTTCCATCCCCTTGCCTGGGGCCACTGGAGACCCTGCGCATGCTGTTACTCACTCACACCCATGCCTGGGGCTGCTTTGCCCATCATCTAAGTTTCCAGGTAGGGTTGGGCCAGCAGAAATCTGTGGGGCGGAACATGATACCCTGGTGCCTTGCTCTGAGGCCAGGGCCCATGGGAAAGGCTAAGGCAGTGCTGTAGCCTCAGATTACACTGTCACTCCCATGAGGTAGAAGAGCTTGGAGAACGGGGCTCTGGCACCGAGGAACACCTCTGAATTCTGTCTCAAACCCATGATTAACAGTGTCATCTTAAATCATTTGACCACTCTGCCTCGGTGTTCCTCAGCCATAAAATGGGGACAGAGTACCTAAATCATTGTGTTACTATGAGAATTAAATAATTTAACCCTGTACAGCACATAGTTCATGCCCACTAAGGGGTCCCTGGCCCAGACAGTACACCAAGGATCCAGACATGTGTCTTCTAGTCACGCAAGCATTCAACCAGACCCAAGTTTTATCAAAAATATTGTCATTCTCTGAAGCTTATGGTAATGAATTCACCTGAATAACTAGCTCAAAATTGCTTTGAACATAGGGATCCTTGGAAAATGAAAAAAGTAGTCTTTTTTTTCTAAACCATATTTTTCTAAACAGGAGCCCACTTTCCGTCACTCCCAAACATGACCAGGTTCAGCTGGACATACTCCGACACGCCACCCTGGACACGCCTTCTTTAAGGAGCAGCTCTAGGGCAACAGCCACTCTCTTCATTTCGGTTAGTAACTAACTCTGAGGAACCTCTTACCAGAGAAACAGTTCATTTCTTAAAAATCTTTCTGACTCCAACTCGAGTGACTAGGAGTTTTGAGTCATGAATAGCACTAACTCTAATACTGTTTGACTACTGGCTATCATGTTACCTAACATGTATTGAGACCTTACGAGATGCCCGGCCTTGTCATAAGTGTTTCGCATGCATTAGCTCCTTTAGTCATCAGAAATAACTCCCAGATTGGTGTTACTTTCATTTCTGTTTGACAAACAAGGAACGAAGGCACATAGATGTTGAGAAAGTGACCCGTGGTCACACAGCTACTCCGTGGGGAGCTGGCACTGTCCCTAACAGACGGGGCTCCTCACTGTTCTCTTAAACTTAGTACATGGGGTTGAATATTCCTTTTTTATAGGAGGATTAGGGTTTCATTTTTCTCATTGAAGAACTTATTTTCACAACTTGATTGGATTGAATCTACACACAAGGTATTAAAATCAACAGTTTTGTTTTTAAGGTGTCATGTTTTCATTTTACTATTTTTCTTTTTGAGACAGAGTCTGGTTCTGTCGCCCAGGCTGGAGTGCAGTGGTATGATCTCAGCTCACTGAAACCTCTGTCTCCTGGGTTCAAGTAATTCTCCTGACTCAGCCTCTTGAGTAGCTGGGATTACAGGCACATGCTACCTTGCTTGTCTAATTTTTTTATTTTTAGTAGAGATGGGGTTTCATCGTGTTGGCCAGGCTGGTCTCAAACTCATGACCTCCAGTGATCCACCCGCCTCAGCCTCCCAGAGTGCTGGGATTACAGGTGTGAGCCACTGCACCCAGCCCATTTTACTATTTTTATGCTCACTTTATATCTACGGAAGTAATACACGTTTTACATGTAAAGTGAAATTATCACCTTCTGAAGCAAAAGGATTTAAGTCAGAAAGTCTGCTTACAGGAAAATTAATGTAGTATGAAGCAGCATTAGCAGGTGTTCGTGGGTGTGGTCGAGCAAGGCTGGTGTGTGTGCCCCAAGGCTTGCTGAGCACCTGGTCAGTGAGCCAGTGTTTGCTGGGACAAGTCTGAGCTGCAGGTGACACAATGGCCATTGGCCAAACTAGTGGAAAGTTTAAATGACAGGAAAACGAAAGACTGGAGGACGAGGAGGGGACCAGCCAAAGGGGATGTGGGTATAAAAAGGAGGATTTGGGGAACCATCTATCACCCTGATAAGTAGCTGTGTTCACAAACGTCCTTTGCTCCTTCCTGGGCTGATCTTCAAAATGGGAACAATAGTACTATTTCTTTCATCCCAAGACACTTGATCTTCACACCTGACATTTTAGAAATCCTGTGTCTTACAATTGATGTAAATGTTTAACAGAAAAGCATCTTTCTTCTCCTTTCTCCCTGAAAGCTGTTACTAATTTCCTGCTGTGTCTTAGTCAGTGGCTTCTCAGAGTCTAGAAAATACAGTAAGAGTATTGTACAAGAATAAATGGTTTTGAATGTGGTGCTTAAGATACATCTTTGACTTAACAATTGCCTTAAAATCCTGCCTTAACAACAACAAAAAAATAGCTCTTACTTTCAGTTTTGATTTGCTTTTGATTAGACACAAGTAAGGAGTGGAGCCGGCCGCAAGCCCAGCTCTTCTCATTCGAGGTTCAGAATTATTTGCCCTGTGTGCCATCATTTTTCCATATTTATCTCAGAGGACTACGCAAAATATGACAGTGGGTTACCATGGGATATCTGGAACTTAAGTATAAAACTCCAGGCCAAAGACAAAACAAGCGTTCCCATCCCAAGGCATCTCTGTGAGATGGCAGATGCTCTTGTCTGCCCTTCAGATCTGAGGGGTCTCTAGAGGGGCAGCAACTGTACCTTCTAACACATAGATGGTTTAGCATGCCTGTAAGAAGAGTGGGCATCATGGAAATCTGGACAGTACTACTGGCCTTCCTCTTCCTGTCTCTCCACTCTTGAATTTTTATGTTAGTCCCCATGGCACCCTCTTTGTGACACATCTCCAGATGGAAGCAGGAGCTCTCCTGAAGGATCCCACACCCCACAGGGTGATCTCTAGGACTGCCCATAGCAACAGCCTGGACCATGGAAAAAGGCCTTCCTTTCTTTCATCAGAGCCAGGCCGTGGGACCCTCCCCCAGGACCCTAGGAACAAGGTCTTTTTTTAGCTCTGCTATGGAAACTTAGGTGACACACATCACCTCTTGGGACCTCAGTTTCCTCATTTACCAAATGAGGCTGCTGTGAAGTCATTTTTGAGTCCCACTGAGGACCGCTACTGTGATTTTCTTTCACCAACGTGAGATACACGCAGCTGGTTTCAGGTCCTTTCTGAAGCAGTCTTAGTATTGGGGAGGATGGATGGCAAAGTTGCCACTGAGAATGACAAGAGAGAGATCAGACCCATCCCCCGCTGCCCTCCTGATCCTTGGGAGGCCAGTCTTACATCTCAACATTCCCAGCCACCTTGTTACCAACCCTTGTGGAAAATTTGATGTGGACAGAAGGGACTCCAGCCCCTTTTAAGTATAAACATGCTCAAGCTTTAATTATTAACTATTTAATGTTGTCATTGAAAATATTTATCCTAATACTACTCTAGAAGGGTGAACATTCTTCATGTATTGACCCACAGCTGATTTCTTATCTGCTGTTGCCAAGAACAAGAAAGGAGAGAATAAGGCTGAGGAAGGTGCCAGGCTTGATAAAAGTTAGGTTGGACTGTTCTTTTTAAATGCATGCCTTGCGCTTATCACTGCTATTGCCACTTTTCTACTTTTTTTTTTTTTTTTTAAAGTGCATTTTGAAGGTAAATGAAAAGAGAGCTATGGTGTAGCCTGGAAAAGCAGGGTGTTTACTGCTTAGAGGAACTAGAAGTTCATGAGGGCCTGGCCGGACTAAGAAATGACAGCTCAGCACAGGGAAGG